TATATATATATATATATATATACTTAGAGCTTATTGGCTTGCATTTTTATCACAAATATTCACACAAACTATTTTCCATACATACAAAACTTTCAAGTGCTGCTCATTTATTCACAGCTCTTTTTTTATTTTATTTTATTTTTTTAAATTTATTATTTAAAGCTATTATGATCAACTCTAAAACAATAACAAAAAAAATATTAGATACAATATTTTGACAAAATAAGAGTTTTCTTTATAAAATAATAACTTGTCGATTTATATATTAATTTGCTGCATGGATATTTTTTCTTGGGATTTATCCCAGGCTATTAAATTTATCAAGATATTAGGGAATATATAACTTAAAGCATATGAATTTTATTTATCATTATCAGTGATAATCATCCGTTAAGGTGACAGTGAATTCTCGATTCATTGTCTAATGAAGTTGGGAAACATTTGAATTTATTGTAATGAGTCATGAGACTCACTGTTATCTAGACCATTGATGATCACACACTAATGGTGAATAACATTATTATTTAAACTTTTTTTTTTTTTAAATTTCAAGCTAGCCAAACATGTTTAAATGATTTTTGCATGTTGCATTTGCAATGTGGCCCGTTTGTTTCTCATTTTTGGAAAAATGAGAATGAAAAATATAGTCACTACAGGTCTACACAAGAGATAAAAATTCAAATTTGATGTTTTGATGTGATGGATGACGATCATATTTTTCATTTTAAGGGGTGTTTGAACCACATTATTTTGGTAATAATGCATTCTTGAATAGTGTATTAATGGAAAATGTGTAGTTAAAAAATAAGAGAACGTTTTTGATTTGAGTGTAATATTATTTTACTAAAAACGTGTGGTTGAAATGATGTCAAATCACTGTTTAAAAATACATTTTTTTGAAATAATGTGGCTCAAACAGGCCCTTAATATGAAAAGAATGAGAAACAAACGAGGGGTAATAAGAAATGTGAAAAATCAAGGTGAGGAAAACCTAGGTATATAACAAGTCGAGCCGAGTCCCAAGCTAAAACTCGAGGCTCGGACTTGGTTTGAGTAAAATTAAGATAAGCTTTTTTGGCTCTAGCCGAGCAAAAGCTGGGCCAAAAATTTGAGGCTCAACACGAGCTTTTAGCTTGAATTTCACAGAACTGAGTCGAGCCAATCCTAGTCGGCTTTTTTTTTTTTTTTTTTTTTATTATAAGTGCTACCTATTTATATTTAAATAGGTAGCTCACACTGCCTTTTTTTTTAACGAGCTGAACCGTCGAGTTATGGGTCGGCTCAAGCTTTTTTCAGATCGAGCTACGGACGATTCGAATCGACGAGCCAAATTGCTATCCTTAGCAGAACCTATGGACTGGCAAAACTAGTCTTCATATATTGAAAATATTCAATATATGGAGGACATCTTATTTGCAATCTCCTTTTAAGGGGGAAAAAATGGAACATGGGTCGTAAAGAAATTCGCAATTTGAAAGCAACTTTCTCACACCAAAGTAGAAGAGGGACATCCATGATCCATCCACCAATTCTTATATTTTCTACTTATATTGGTTTAATCCTAATTATTGAGTTAATTCAACATGAGGGTTGCTTTACCTTTATATGATAGTTTTACAAGTAGAAAATAGCATTGGGACTTTAATATTTTTACTATAATTAGACATTTAAATTTCAAATTATTTCTATTTTCTGAATCTCTAACATAGATTTTTTTTTTTTTTTTTTTTGGGCACCTAAATTCTCTAATTGAATATCCTGAAAATCCAATATAAAATTCCATATGTTGTGTGGACTATATGGATTATTATTATTTTTTTAAAGAAAATTTTACCACTATTTTACTTTAGATATGGAAACAAATTGCACTTGTCTTCCTCCACCCTTGCCTCTCCTTTGTTGATCCTAGCAGTGGTGGAGGGGTGGGGGACGTCCAGTGGCCTCCACTGGAATCTGGCAATTTGCATTTTTTTTTTCCTCTTAATCTCTCTTCATGTCACTATCTCAGATCTATTTATTAGATAACATAGATTTATATTGCTAAAGAAGTCCCTTGCTTGATATATTTCTTGCATAAAAAAGTAGTTCATTTTTTATATGTTTTTACTCATATATTGATTATAAGTAAGAAGGATAAAATTTGTGGGAAACTTTTGCTTTTGCTTGTTCATGTATGGATTATAAGTAAAGAGAATCAATTTGAAAGAAAATTGCTTTATTTTGAGTGGATATATCGTGTTTTTCAATTATAATATAATAAAAAACAATTTTATCATCGTTTTCACATGTGGAGTAGATCATTTTAAGGTAAAGATTTGATCTTGGAGGTTTGTCTCTTAAGCCAATGAGTAATAATGCAATCACTTCTATGAACCCCAACACATACATAATTTTTTGCATAAACGATCCATACCTTCATTGAAATATGCTCTTGGCTCTATCTCGGGCTCCTACCCCGTTAGTGGGGATTGCTAAGGATAGAGATACACAGGGTGACTAGAGAAAACTTTTAATTTTATCAAGAAATTTGTAATTTCGATCTCTAAATATTACCCTTCAGAGTTATTATGTCTCTAATCATTTTTTCTTAATATTATAATTTTCGAACTTCTCTATTTGGATCCGAACATAGGAGGAATGATGCACAATACACGAGCTCACTGTCCCACCACACATATGCTGCCAAAGATGGGAGTCGATGTTTATGAATGTATATATGCCCTTCCAAGCACTTTAAAGTCTTCATTTACATTCCTAGAGCATGAACCTTATCAAACCATCAACTCACACAAAATTAAGTTTTTTAAGTCTAGTTTAGCCAGAGACCTTTATTTCTTGAAAACAATTAAATAGATTCATACATGAATCCGATAAATTTGTATAATATATCAAATTTCTTCTTCATGCAAGTTATTTTTCTCGATTAAATAGACCGCTAGTTCGATCATCAATCTACAATGTTTCAAACAGCACAAAAACATTAGGCTTGTCTAGACATAAAATGATTCAAATACTACACAAAATTTAAAACATATATAGTTTGTTGGAAAATATTATTTTTTTCCTCACTATATATATAACACCACATTAAAAAAGTTATTTCATAAATACAAAAAAAAAAAAAAAAATTAAATTAAATGTCATGGTGAAGTCATCATGCCCCTCCCATGTGGCTTTGCCATTGGTTAACATGACTACGTTTTATAGCAAGAAGTACATGTTAACATGTAGATAGATGAACTCCACAAAGAAACATTGAGTTAAATGCTAATATGTTAAGAGTTTGTGATTATTTTTTCTTGACAGTAATAAAATACTCAATATTGTCACAATGCTAGATAGTAGAGACAGAATGCGAGAAACATATATACATTATACAAGTATTTAAGGATAAGACACGTATTGCTTTCAAAACTTGAATACTTGTCTAATAAATCAATTATAAATTAAAAAAATTTAATCCAAAGCAAGTGTGTGATCATTTTCTTTACCTTTCAAGATTTTCAATTATGAGACCAGAGATTAATTGCTTCATTCCATTAAAAGCAATAATGAGAATTACCATGTCCTAGGATTCCTTTGTAGTAATTAGTAAATAACAAGCTCCTATATGTAATGGCTGCGAAGGATGAATGGGTGTGTGTGTGTGGGCGCGCAGCAGCGTTTGCCATTTGCATACCACACAGCCCAATAAAAACCATATGATTACAGATTCCATATACAACAGGTCTGTCTGTGTGTCTGAATTTTGAAGTGGTCTTATATTTTGTCAAAATCATTTTCTTCTACTGTGCACTGCTCATGTCCATTTTCCTTATCATTTATGCGCCACTCAACTCCCAAAACAAGAATTACACCATTGCTCCCTCACCTAATATCAACATTATTCCACCATACAAAATTTTAATCAAAGCATTCACAGATCCAACTCTTTAAGCCCATGTTTGAGAGTAGATTAAAAAAGTGATTTTTTTTTGCTTTTAAAAAATAATAATATATCTTTTTTTTTGAAAAAAATTAAATTTTAAATTAATTTTAAATGAAGCCAGTAGCAGGGTGAAGTTTATGTACTTTGTACCCGTTTTAGGTAACGACCCCTGTCCCTACCTCGTTTACCCGATTAGATAGATAATCCCCTCCCCATTTGAGACAATTGTTGCATATATCGAGTTGAAGGAGGCTTTTTTTTTTTTTTTTTAATTCCTATATCATAAGTTATGTGTGATCGATTCATATACTGATTACGTATATATAATGGGAATCTTGAGTGTGTGTTGTAACATAGGAGCAAGCTCTTGACATGGTTTTCGAAAGTTTTAAATAAGGTAGTATCACATTAATGATTTAATAAATTCTTGAACCATTTTGATCTTTGAAGACTAATTATGTTGTTGCTCGTTTAATTCTCATTTTTATCAAAATGCATTTTCTTTTTTCCCTTTTTAATCACACATTTTTCATTAAAATAATATTATACGTAAATTAAAAAATTTTCTTTATTTTTTATCCACACATTTTCTATCAATCTACTACTCTAAAATTTATTTTTTTAACAAAATGGGTGCCAAACACCCTCTAAAAGTTGAAAATATTATGAACTTATTAGCTATTCAAACAATAAGTTGAGAGCTAACGCTATAATTTTGCTAAAAAGAAAATTCATCTCCCCGAGGAAAAAATCTCAGAAGCACAAAATAATTTTCTTCAAAATCAAGAAAAAGTGAATCAATCAATCATATTTGCGAGAGTATTAATAACACTACACTCGCTCTGCGTGAGGCGTGCCTGTCTGAGCGGGGCACTAAGATTCCACCCACATGGGGGTGTTTTGATTGTAGGCCGCATATACACTGTAAATCGGCGAGTGGAAAACCAAAACTTATCAACAGAATGGTATTTCCGTAAATATTTAGTGAAAACAAGGTCGCTTTTGAGTGCAAGAGAGGTATGGAAACCACAGATAAAGACATATGCTGCATGTCGACGGTCAAGATTTCTCCTGTCTCTCTCCATCGAGCTAACACCCACCGTCAGATCTTATTCTTAGCATGGTTAAGAAATGGAGACCCAAGTTTACTACAGTCTCTTTCTCTTTCTTCTCTCTCATGATGAAATGGGTCTGGTGCTCAGTTTTTGAGTGAGAAAGTGTACAGATATAGATATAGAGAGAGAAGAGAGAGGCTTTGGATTTTCTCTTTTTGATGAGTGATTATAATCGCTCGGGGAATTTGCTTTGTTTTTATGCTGTTCTTGGTTGTGAAATTTGATTCTTTTTTGCTATAAATGGGAATTTAGCTTAGTTTTTCTCCGATCTGTGACTTTTCATTCCAATCTGTTATTGTATTTCCCGTTTTTTAATCAATTTTTTTTTTCCCGTTCAAATCTTTAATCTACACCCTTTGATTTTTGGATGATGATGGTAGAGGTCCGAATTATCTCAGTTCCTTGTCCTATAATTTCCTGTCGAGAAAAAAATTGTTTTATTCTTTTCCCCTCTTTGTTTATTTCAGATCTAATCTGAAAGTCGAAGAGAACCCAGAGAAGTTAAGCTCTCCATTTGTATCTTCATTTTGTGCCAAAAATCTTTAGATCTAGCCTGCATCTTGTATATTGCAGCTCAGATGCACCGAAAAAACTCTTATTTTTGAATTTAAAAATCCGTAGTTTTATCGTACTTCACGTTCAATGAGTACTACATAGTATATTAGTTGATTAGTAGCTTTCCGGGTTTTTCACCCCCCCAAAAATCACATATATTTTGGGAGAGCCGTGTTATTTAAAGATCGGGTCAGCTAGGGTAAAAAAGGAACAGATGCATTCATTTCAGAGTATGCTGAATTACTTCCCTGAGGAAGTATTAGAGCATGTATTCGACTTTTTGACATCGCATCGGGACCGAAATGCTGTGTCTTTGGTTTGCAAGTCCTGGTATGCGGTCGAGAGATTCAGCAGAGAGAAGGTTTTCGTAGGCAACTGCTACGCCATCAGCCCGGAGAGGCTGATTGCGAGGTTCCCAAGGTTTCGGTCGTTAACGCTAAAAGGGAAGCCCCATTTTGCCGATTTCAACTTGGTCCCCAATGACTGGGGCGGATACGTGCAACCCTGGATCGAGTCCATAGTGAGAGGCGGTGTGAATCTCGAGGAACTAAGGCTGAAGAGGATGTTGGTTTCTGATGAAAGCCTCGAGCTGCTTGCAACTTTTTTCCCCAATTTCAAGTCTTTGGTTTTGGTTAGCTGTGAAGGATTCACCACGGATGGTCTTGCTGCCATTGCATCAAATTGCAGGTCGACTTCACGTTATCTAAATCTTCTTCGCTTAATTTAGCAGCTTTAGCTTTTGTTCTGCTGTCACTTTATCTGCAATTTTGCTATTAATACAATTAGATGATGTTTGGCTTTGTCTTTGAGCTTTTCTTGATTTTGGCTACTTAAATTTCTGATTATCGGTAGGTCTTGGTGTTAAATTGATGGCTATTATCTAGGTCATACAGTCCTCCTGGTGCTTCACTACTGGTCTTGGTCCTGCTCTGCTTTCACTCCAAGACAGCTCTTAAATAGGCTTAATGTGTATTTTTCGATAGAGATCCAATTTTTTTCCGTGTAAATGTGAAGCCTTGTTTGTGCCCTCTTTCGAGCTCCAACACTGAAATGTATTTTCTTTTGTGCTTGCTCATATATCAGCTAATAATTTGGATGTTAGGTTGTAATTACAAGATGCACCAAGATTTGGGAAATACTGATTAATCATTTTCCATAAAATCCAAGATGTAAACCTAGAGTATATAGCTGTGAAGTAATGCCTGACTGGTAATTACTAGTCTTTGGATTAACTGCCTTGCAACCTCTCCAATACTTTATTATAGTACTGATTTCTGAATTCCCTCAAGGTCAATGTACATGTTTTGGATGAGTACAATTGGCCTTTGATTTCCCGAGCTATTCCTTTGGATAGTGTGATGTTTGTTGACGGTGTGGTCCTTGTGACAGGTTTCTTAGGGAGCTGGACTTGCAAGAAAATGAAGTTGAGGACCGAAGAGGGCAGTGGCTTAGCTGCTTTCCTGACAGCTGCACTTCTCTTGTCTCTTTGAATTTTACATGCCTCAAGGGAGAAGTTAATTTGGCGTCTCTAGAGAGATTGGTTGCAAGATGTCGTAATCTTAGAAGTCTGAGGGTTAACAATGCAGTGCCTCTTGATGCTCTCCAGAGAATTTTAGCACAAGCACCACAACTAGTGGATTTAGGGACTGGGTCGTTTGTCCACGATCCCGACACAGAGTCATATAACAAATTAGAAACTTCTATGCAGAAGTGTACGTCAATCACAAGCTTGTCAGGGTTCTTGGATGTCTCTGCACGCTGCTTGCCTGCCGTTTACCCGATTTGCGGACAATTGACTTCGTTGAATCTGAGCTATGCTCCAGGAATCTATAGTGATGAGCTTGTAAAGTTAATTTGCTACTGCAACAGATTAGAGCGACTATTGGTTTGATTCTCTTGAACTGTTTGTTTAAATTCAATATTTCTTTATTCTTTCTTGAAATCACAAGGATTAAGAATGTATTTTACAGGTTTTAGATACCATTGGGGATAAAGGGCTCGGTGTTGTGGCCTCATCTTGTAAAGAACTGCAGGAATTGAGAGTCTTCCTATCCGATGTCTATGGCATTGGCAATACAGCTGTAACTGAAGAAGGATTAGTTGCGATATCAGCTGGTTGTCCCAAGCTCAATTCAATACTCTATTTCTGTCAGCAGATGACCAATGAAGCACTCATTATGGTTGCCAAAAATTGCCCCAATTTCATTCGCTTCCGACTGTGCACGCTTAACCCAACTGTACCGGATGCCATAACCATGCAACCATTAGATGAAGGTTTTGGGGCAATTGTCAAATCATGCAAGGATCTTAAGCGGCTATCTATCTCTGGCCTCCTGACTGATCAAGTTTTCCTTTACATTGGAAGGTATGCTAAGCAGCTTGAAATGCTTTCGATAGCCTTTGCTGGAGATAGTGACAAGGGAATGCTCTGTGTGTTGAATGGATGCAAGAAGCTCAAGAAGCTGGAGATCAGGGATTGCCCCTTTGGCAATGTGGCACTTCTAGCGGACATGGGGAAGTATGAAACAATGCGATCCCTTTGGATGTCGTCCTGTGAAGTGACCTTTGGAGCTTGCAAAACCCTTGCCCGGAAGATGCCAAGGCTCAACGTTGAGATCATTAATGAAAATGACCAGATTGAGGCTAGTTTTGATGATAAGCAGAAAGTAGAGAAAATGTACCTGTATAGGACATTGGTTGGGCCCCGGAAAGATGCACCAGGTTTTGTGTGGACGTTGTAGCTGCATTTTGCTTGTATCATTCATTTTTCTGTATCATTTAGCTGTATTTTGTTGACCAAGTGTTCATGTTGCTAGTTCAATGGTGTGGTTCAATAGTTCTTTATTGTTTATTAATTTAAACTTAAGTTCTGTAATTTTTGTTGATATTGACCATTTTCAGTGCTATCAAATTACTGGTGAACTACATTTAAATTCTGGCTCCAGGGTATGATTTTTGCTTGTATTTTACAGCGTGTTGATTTCGAGGATGCTTCGTTTCGATTGTGTGAGATTTGAAAATTTACTTGGTCAAAGGCAAGTTGTGGGTTATAGCATTTCTATTTCCTTTCTTTTGGCTACCTGAAAACGAATGAAAGTTAAAGATAAGATGCCCTTGAAATTTGTCCTATGGTTTGAAAGCTTTGTAAATTGATTATAATTTACTTTTCTGCACAAAGCTAGAAAGACAGTAAATGTGAAGTTCCCTACTCCGGTCATTTTTCGCTCTCTTGATTGCTTAAGACTCCGAATTTGTGACATGCTTAAAGATTAGAATTAGTCTACCCTTTTCTTTCTACATTCTTCTTGGGGTGCTTTATCCAGTTATTAATGGCATTCGTGAATGAGAATTGAGATTTCTTTTGAAATATGGATAATGTGTCTCACCGAACTTAGACATTAGGCAACATACACTATATACTTGGTGCAGAATTTGAGATGCTAATAACCTTTTTCTTCTTGATATCATACATTCAAGAAGACGCTTGCTCTAGGAGATATCTTAAAGGCATTGTTGAGCAATTAATTTATCCATGTTCATCAGCCGAACTTGGAGGAAAAGGGGAATTGATCCTTAAGCAATATGCAACCTATAGTCGAGCAAAACAGCATGCAGAAACTGCTGAAGAACTTATTCTAATGAATAATACTATCTAGCACAAGTGGTTTGAAAGTACCAATCTAGATTACTACACTTGATTGGCCAAATTAAATGGATTATTTGACTATGCATTTAAATAAATATATCATTTAGTGCTATCTAATTGTCACCTAAACTGATGCTAAGCACTGGTACAGCTGAATAGCATTACTCCATTCCAACAGCTAGAAAAACTCCCTTGAATATTCAAGAAAGCCTTAATCACCATGTTGCATTATTAGTTCAAACAGATTGTACACATAAATCAGGCAAGGAATATAATCCTAACAAGGAGATGAGAGTTTCACCGAACACTCGATAGAACTTTCACAATTTGACAAAGCAATGACATCAATTTTATACCAATCTAAAATAGCACACAAATACTACTCGGTTCTATCATTAATAAACATCTTAGCAACTATCCTGGAACAAGGTGTGAAAAGGAAAAAAAATGCTCAGAAGCAATATTCTTCAAATATACAGCGGCAACAAAGTGCAGCCAAATTGCATTGCATAATAAACAAATTTACTATCTTTGCCACAATAATTCTCCAAAACGGAAGATGCATTACATAAGTTTCTACGGTCCACACGATGGAGCAAAGTATGCCATCATATTATCCATGAAACTCAATAAGTTATAACTACTAGTGATGAGATCCATGGTACGAGAACTAACAAGGAAAAGGATCTGTTGATCGTGAGGGAAGGTCCAATGACTATGACACGAGCAAAGAAGGTCAAAGAAGTCATGGAACTATTTTTTCAAGCTACAGAGAATGAAACATTGATCACAACAAGCAAAATAACAAGTTTCACGTTGGGCTTGTAAGAGAAACAAGATGGATCAACTTGGTTCAAGTTACAAAAATAGAAGCTGTGGAGTTCTACTATGCAACCACATAGTTGAACATGGCATGCCACCTTGCACAGAAGCTAGCTGAAGATTTGGACTGCCCTATGTGACCGCATTATACAAACTGGACACGAATTTTCCAAATTTCGCTTAATCTCCTAATTTAGTTAAAACTCTTTTTTTTTAATGGTATCTTTAGACTTTAATTTCATATTAATTAGGGGTTTTTTTTAATGTATTACATATAAATATAACTTATTGTTTTCATTGTAAAACACACAACTTAAGAGATACTATTGCGACGCGTACTTGCTTTCAACTCGTTCTTCTTTGAATTAATTTTAGAACTTATCAAGGACTAATTTTTTGAGGTGTTCAACAATTAAAGTAAGATTCGTAAATTTTGTGATCACGGGATGTAGATATTGTTTGCCATTGTTTTGGTTCTTTTGTTCAATAATTTAACGAGTCGAGTTTTTCCAACATTGTTTTTTGGTTTTTTTGGGTTTGATCTAATCTGTCGTGGGTTCCATAGCTTCAATTCCTATGTGCCACATTGTTTGGTATCAGAGCTTATGTTCCAAAAATTAATGTTATATCCTTTACTTTTTGTTTGAATTTCCATCCTCATTCTTCGTGTTCTTCATGTTTTTAAGTCATTCAATCCAACTAAAGTTTCCAAAAAAATAAATAATAATAAATAAATAAAATAAAATAAAATAAAAATTTATTTGTGAGCTAAATTAGTACCCCCAAATCAACTTCTCTTCGAATTTTTTGACTCCTTGTTGAATTTTAGTACAAAAAAAAAAAAATTGAAAATTGCAAAAAATAAAAAATAAAAAAATATAGCAATTACAAAAAAAGCCCAAAATCAAAAGCGTCCAATTCAATTCAAGAAATACCTTCTTGAATTTATCCTTAATGTTCCACTCTAGTGTCAATTTCTACTTCTCGAGTTATTCAAGAGTCAAATTTCCTTACTCAATTTTTTGTTTGAACTCTACAAGGATTGAGATTTGATTGAGATCAAATTAATTCTTTCAATCGGTTGCAAGGAAGCATTGAGTAGAAAAAGGCAGAGTGATGAGGCTAATAGAAGGAAAAAGTTAGGTTGAATAATACACGAGTGTACACATGTGAGGCAAATATCATTCTAGATTTAGGATGTTTGAAAGAGAGGATTTTACTTCAAACAGGAAGAATAATCAATTTATGTAGCGAACAATTTGAAAAGAAGTTGTCTGAAGATATGAAAAATAGGATGGATAGGCAAGATACATTGTTTGCTAATTTATGTAGCGAACAAGCTAGAAGAGTTCTGAACGCGAGAAAGCATGGTAGGTGGGAGCCTAGAGTGGAAAATTGTGGTGAAAATGAAGCAGGTAGTGGAATTGATGATATGCATTAGTGGATGATGAAATGGGAAGGATGAGGAATAGAGGAGATAGGCATAATAGAAGGGCTAGAGATTATGTTAGAGATGGTGTTGATAGGAATATGGGCAATATTAGAATGACTATTCCATCATGCAAAGGAATGAGCAATTCGTAGGCATATTTGGAGGGGGAGAAGAAGATAGAGCTTATATTTGATTGCCATAACTACTCGGAGGAGAAAAAGGTAAAATTTGCTATCATCGAGTTTACCGATTATGCTATCATTTGATAGGATCAAATAGTAACATCTAGGAGGAGAAATCATGACATGAATATTGAAACATAGGAAGAATTGAAGGCTATCATGAGGAAGATGTTCGTTCCTAATCATTAGTATATGGGCCTTTATCAAAAATTACAAAGCCTCTATCAGGGATCTAGAAGTATGGAGGATTATTACAAGAAGATAGAGATTGCAATGATTAGAGCAAATGTTGAGGAGGATTGGAAGGCCACATGGCCTGATTTTTGAATGGTAGAAATAGCTAATATAATGGAACTACAACATTACGTGGAGTTGGACGACATGCTACATAAAGGTATAAAAATGGAGAGACGGTTGAAGAGAAAGTGAGTAGCTAGATACCTATTAGGTTCTTCGGGTTCTAACTTTTGGTGAAAATCGAAGTGGGATAACAATAAAGGTGATGGGGTTGTTTCAAAGGGTAACATTGAGCTACATAAGGGGATAGAGGAAGTTGCTAGCAAAGCTACACCTAAGGCAAATTTCCAACCCCTAAGAATTGGGAAATCAAATGCTTTAAGTGCTTGAGATCGAGACACATTATTTTTTAATGTCCAAAAAAAGGGCTATGATTTTGCGACATAATGGAGAATTGGTAAATTATAGTGAGTGTGAGTACCATAATATGTCGAAATTGGAAGATGCTAATGATGGGGAGAAAATTGAGCATGCAGTGGGAGAGCTGTTGGTCACAAGGTGAGCGCTTAGTGCTCAAATCAAAATAGATGACTTGGAGTAACAAAGGAAGAACAAATTTCTAAGAGATGCCATGTCAACAACAAGGTATACAACGTGATTATTGATGGGAGGAGTTGTACCGGTGTGGCTAGCACTATACTTGTTGAAGAAACTGGAATTAATAATACTAAAATATCTCGGGCCTTACAAAATGAAATATCTAAACCAATGTGGAGAAGATAAGGTGAATAAGCGAGTGTTGATGAGTTTCTCAATTGGGAGGTACCATAATAAGGTGATGTGTGATGTAGCTCCTATACATGCTAGGCACATTTTGTTGGGAAGGCCATGGCAATATGATAGGAAGTGATGCATGATGGGCACAAAAATATGTATAGCTTTACTGAAGATAGGAAATCTATTACTTTTGTGCCGTTAATACCAGCACAAGTGTATGAAGATCAAATTAAATTGACAGCGAGCAAGAAAAAAGATTGAGAGAAAAGGAGAGCAAGATTGATCTTTCACAACAAAAAAATAAGTGAGAAAAATTAAGGTGGTTAATAGTGAGAAAAAAATAGCAGAGCTACAAGAGTAAAGAAAAAGAGTATTATGAGAGGAGAAAAATTTCGAAAGTAAATTTCTTTGCAAAAGGGAATGAGTTAAAGAGAGCAATAGTTGATGACCGATCCACTATCTTATTTGTTTATAAGGAATCACTCCTCACTTTTGAAGAATCTAAAATACCCCTCCTTCGTTTGGCTACTAATTTGTTGCAGGAATTTCAAATACTTGTTTCTAGAGGATATGCCTAATGGATTACTACTTGTCTGAGGCATTGAGCATCAAATTGACTTCGTACCTGGAGCTGTCATTCCAAACAGACCAGCTTGTCGAAGTAATTCCCAAGGAGACCAAGGAATTCCAAAGGAAAATGGAGAATTGATGAGCAAATGGTAAGTGAGGGAAAGCATGAGATCATGTGCCGTGTTAGTGGTATTTGTACCGAAGAAAGATGGAATTTGGAAGATGTGTGTAGACTGTCGGGCGATCAACAACATAATGGTAAAATAT